ACTAGACACATGACAGCAACACTAGACACATGACAGCAACACTAGACACATGACAGCAACACTAGACACATGACAGCAACACTAGACACATGATAGCAACACTAGCAACACTAGGCACATGACAGCAACACTAGACACATGACAGCAACACTAGACACATGATAGCAACACTAGCAACACTAGACACATGACAGCAACACACATTGACTACCATACCCTCTTGTGTTGCCACGAGTTTCACAGGAGAGAGAGAAAATTTATCATGAAGTAGCTAACACTTACTTTGTATTGATCATGTGTTGCTGTATACGATGTAGAACACAAGTAGTATCCAGTCACAAGGTGTTGTGTTGTGTTGTGTGAGGGGAGGAGAACCACGTACACCCAGACACTAAATTACCTCAACTGAGACTCCTGTTACACCATTCATGACTTTTATAATGATTTTTACTGTTTTTCTGTCCGATATAGAGGTTATTATATTATTTTCTCATGTAGATAGTGTAGATATTATTTATATTTGTTTCACTTTGTCTATATTCGTCACAGAACTGATAAATAACTTCATGAGAAAGGAATTTGTACGTCTGGCAGGTGTGCAGGAGAGAGGTGTCTGTGTCCGATACTCTTCATGTGATATTTTCTATACAATTATATTACCATTATTCCATATTATTCTCCACTACAACCATATATATATTTTTTATTTTAATTTATAATTCAAATTTATATTAAATGATTTTATATATTATCCCCGTTTTTAGGTTATATATATTATTTAAAATATCTGATAGTGATTCGGACGACATTTTAAGAGAATGGGAATAAAGTGATCTGTAGAAATGTTATTTAATAATACAAATACATTATAGTACCTCTTTATAAATAAATAATAATTCTCTGATACCATTCATAGCTTAGTTAATTGGTTAATGCTACTAACAAGAGAAGAAGAGAGTTGTTCTAGGCAGGCATAATGTGATGTCTGACATATGTTTGGTGTGTGTTGCCATAGTTACGTGTAATATAATTTAGAACACTTATTAGAAATTCTATATTTCATTTAATAAGACTTGAGCACAGTTAAAAGACATATGTTGTTGTATTTTGCAACAGATGTCAAGAATTCGGTTTTATAGACTGAAACAACTACAGCTTAACCCTACGTCATGGCTGTGTTTATGGATGACGTCATTGATGAAACATACGCTACGTCATCGCTGTGTTTATGGATGACGTCATTGATGAAACATACGCTACGTCATCGCTGTGTTTATGGATGACGTCATTGATGAGACATACCCTACGTCATGACTGTGTTTATGGATGACGTCATTGATGAGACATTTCCTGGCAGAGTTTACAGGATATTATGTTCACTTAATTATATTTCTACATGATGTGAACTATATTATAATCAGTAATTTATATATATATTTTCCTTAAAGGTATTGTGGAACACTATTACATGGCTTTCATTAAGATGCAGACAGCCAGACTAATGAGAGTGGACACAGATATACGGTAATGGTCGTCACAGTATTAACAAAGATTTAGCACATCATTGTACCAGACATGGGACAGTTAATTAACTTATTTGTTAACACTTGATAGTAACTCTACAGTGTTTAGTGGTGAAGAGGATAAAATAAAGTAAAAGTTAACATTTATAATACTGGTTAACTTAATACTAATTTTATGCACCCAGTGTGTCACTATTAACGATTCAGTTATTAAAACTATTGGATCTGCTGAAGAATAGTCACCCCAAAGTTTGACAGGGTAACAATTACTTCAGGTCAACTAAACTATTCTTAGACTATTTATTGGAAAACATTTATAGGTTATTAAATCAACAGGAAAATTCCTCTAAGCAAATTGGTTACGGATTAGTTAACTAAATCGGAAAAATATTAACATAATTAATTTAAAAAAATCAAGTTAACGTAACTTAACCGGAAAAAAATAAAGAGTAACTTAACTAGTTAAATTTGATGGTCAATTGTCCCATACCTGCAATGTACAGTACATAGATAGTGGATGAATACAATGTACAGTACATAGATAGTGGATGAATACAATGTACAGTACATAGATAGTGGATGAATACAATGTACAGTACATAGATAGTGGATGAATACAATGTACAGTACATAGATAGTGGATGAATACAATGTACAGTACATAGATAGTGGATGAATACAATGTACAGTACATAGATAGTGAATGAATACAATGTACAGTTGGCTCCACTCATGCGGTGGCCACTTAACGTTGCCAATCTTCTCTCCCTGAACTCTGAAGTGTGAATTCAAAGCATTCATGAGTGAGCGGGAGGGAGAGAGGGGGGGAGGGTGTACTGGGGGTCAAAGTGTGTATCAGTTAGCATAGATTACAATGAAGGATAACGCTTTAACAATACCAGCGAGATTTCCTCAGCTGAGTGTAATCGTCTAGCACAGCCAGATTAAAATACTAAAGTTACAATAGGATGAGAAGAGGGTGAATTAATGTTCTAAGTAAGGTGTTCCTTTGTAGAGCGGACGTTTAGGAGCAAATAAATTATGAATATGTTTGAATCTATATCTTGTAGAAACAGCGAAGTTTTGATTAACCCCTAAATTACGAGATGGCTGAACAAAATCGTTAACCGGCTCCCCCCCTTGAACACTCTACTGGGTATACAATGTAGACAGATAA